ACGCTGTTACCTTCCCACCGAAGTGGTCCCTATTTATCTACTTGCAATTTCTTGCTTTCGAACTGCTAGGTTGGCAGGAGCTGGAACTAGAGATGGGAGCTCACTCCATCATGCGGCACCTGGGTCTCGAACTGCTGAACTGCTGACCTTCCACAGCCTGCAGTTCAGCGTCTTGACCACTTGAGCCACCGCAGCTCCAGCAGGTAAATTGAACACTAGGGCAAGTAGTGAGAATTCCCATGAATAATTCTAAGCACTTGGATATGTATGGAATTACTGCATAGTTCCTGGGCTACAAGCCTTGGCCCAGTGAACTGAAATCTCTGCTGTCAAAGAAGAATCAAGAGGCAATCTGTCAAACCACAGGGCATCTTCTGTTTGTGCAACTCAGACACAAGGTTTAGGGTCATATTTACTCCTTCTGCTTTATTCATTTTATGTCCATGTGGGCAGTCTGCTAAAACAACCCCTATACACTACTACAATATTCAGGGATATGGGGGGGAGAAGATTAATTCATGCATGATACATCATTAATACAAATTTTATAAAACAAAGGCATGCTAAGGTATGCCTTACATAAAGGCATATCCCCTAGATGACCACACATGTGGTGGGTTTGGAAGACTGCAGGTGACGGCAGCTGCTGCCCAGCCAACCTATCCTAGCTCATTTTCCACAACTTCAGGGAGCGCTATGTGAGTGGTGCCCAAGTATGTGTAGTCAACTGATTTATAGTCAGGGCTCTTTTTGTACAAAAAGCCCAGCAGGAACTCATTAGCATAATAGGCCACACCCAACAACAGAAACTCATTAGCATATCCAGCCACACCCATGAGAGCATAGCTCATTAGCATATTAGGCTGCACCCCCATGTTACCAGAAGTATAGTCATCCACCCACACCCACCTTTTGCTTCTTATTCTGTTTACCTTGTTTGTTGTCAAAACCCAGGGCTTTTTTCGTAGCAGGAACTCCTTTGCATGTTAGGCCACACACCCCTAATTGTAGCCAATCCTAATGAGTTTCTGCTATTGGGTGTGGCCTATTATGCTAATGAGTTCCTGCTGGGCGTGGCCAATTTGGGAGCCAGCCGGAACTCCGTTCCTGTGCGTTCCTGCCCCAAAATAGCCCTGTTTATAGTACAATTCTAAGAACATTTTCCTGGGAGGAAAGCCCATTAAATAGATTTTAGTAGAATTCTGAGCAGACCCGCTTAGGACTCCTGTCCAAATCTAACAGTATGGTCTATCATATAATGGAACAAGTCATTCAAATGCTCTTGGAGGAGAACTGTTATTTTAAAAAAATGATATCTAGGCCTTTAAAGGAAAAGGATATAATCAGACAACTATAATACAGTCTTAAAGTGGATCATACTCTCCAGGGAATCTTCTCTGAACCTCCTTGTGACAGACAGGGCCAAGTCCGCCCCCTTTTTCATATCTGCGAATCTTCTTCGTACTCTGATTGTCTGGAGCAAAAGCCAGCAACAGCCAATCAGGACCCTCAGAACACTTGGAGGGGGGGGGGGGGATTCACTTCAGGTAGAAGTGGGCTGGTTAGTGTGGTGACCAACTATAGCAGACACTGGTCTATACGTCCCATACATACTCTTCCAGGGTTATTTGAAAGCTACTGGGCAGACAGAGATCTGTGGTTTATAAAGGCTCTAGTGAAGAATCGCAAAGGCTGGAAAACCTGAGGAAAAAGTGACAGCTTTGAAAGTCTAAAGTAGTCCGGCAGTTACTGGCGTTCTCTCCACTCTGACACAATATATTTATTTAATCTATAAAGAAAGTGTATCTCCATATTGCTATATCTCAATAAATTATATTTGTATTAAGATGGTGCTTGAACATCCATAGTTTACTACCCCCTCACTGTAAAACAAATCTTTTTCTTTTTGCATTAAATCTCTGTTTTCCTCCTTGGTATTAAGGGAGGAAAGGTTATAACCAGGCTTTATCAAGGCAAGGGAGAGGTTACCTCAGAGACACCATCACGATTTATCTCAGGGATGGCTATCATAAATACTGCCAAGCACTGTCAGGCCAGAAAAAACACATTTCTCTGGTCTCTTTCACCACTGTGCTGTGGTGTGGGCAGTAATTCTCAACTAATCCCAGTATCAAGACAGTTTATCATCACGAGGACAATGGTACTGGGCTGTGGAGGTTTTCTGGCCAAAAATATTGTAGCGCCTGCTCCTGCCACCCCAACTTGTCACACTCCTTTTAGCTCTCAAGTCATCTCAAGCCAGTTTGGTGTTGTGGTTAAGTGCGCGGACTCTAACCTGGGAGAACCGGGTTTGATTCCCTACTCTTCCACTTGCACCTGGCTGGATGACCTTGGGCAAGCCATAGTTCTGATAAGAGCTGTTCTTGAAAAAGAGCAGTTTCTGTCAGAGCTCTCTCTGCCCCACCTACTTCACAGGGTGTTTGTTGTGGGGAGGGGAAAGGAAAGGAGTTTGTAAGCCGCTCTGAGACTCCTTTGGGTAGTGAAGGGCGAGGTATAAATCCAATCTCTTCTTCTTTTTCTTCATCTCTTCAAGTTATTAAAACTTGATAGAAGATTCCACCAAATCAAACTGATTCTGAGCAACATGATTGTTTCATTGTTCTTGAGTGAGCTCAGACCCTCATTGTGAGATACGGGACGTGATAAGTGTTTCTGCTATCTGTCAGAACAGATTTACACCATTGTCAGGACCTTTGTTCCCTGATTTTTCCCACAGCAGCTTCCTGCATATGTTGACAGTACCAGCTGACTCATTCGTCACAAGCAGAAGATGCTTGTTTTGCACGCTGCCACAAGTGACTTCCCTACTGTGTGTGTCGGTGACTGTACAAATTGCTGGAAGGGTCTGCTAACTGGTAAGTACTCAGAAAATCCAATTGCCATGAGCAGGCACAGACCACTAATGCCACTTTTCATTCATGCAGGGTAAATGCTCAGCAAAACACAGTAGCCTAGACGGTGGTCAAGAAGTGAAGCGATGCTATAATTTTTTGTCAAAATACTCACAAAAAACTCTGTTTGAAGTGCAAAAGAATCTAACGCTTTTGTGTGCAGCTCCTCTGCAGTGAGAACATTGGATGCTGTCTGGAGGTATTCTCGCGCCGATTCTTCCCTTGGAGACATGATATAACCAAAACCTTGCTCAGAACAGCCTGGAGTACACATGTCCAGTGTGAGTGAAACATTGGAACCCCTCCTGCATAATACAGTGGGATACAGAAGCATTTATTAATTACTGGGAAATAGCCCAACATTTAATACATCCTGTTCTTTTTTACTTGAGGTAACGCGTACAAAAAAAAAAAATGGCAGCCTGAAATCCAGTCTGTCTAAAGTCTATATAACATAGAAATTTGATATGTTATGTCCCACTAGAGATGTGAAAGCCTGGGGAAAAACCGGAAAAATTTGGGGGGGAAACCTTTTCCCCCCGTTTTTTTCCTGAAGCCTTGTTTTTTTTCGAAAAATTGGAAAAAGAAAAGAAACAAATTGATTATGGAACGTTTTATTTTAACATGATGAACAAAACATTTTAAGACAAGGTGTTCAAATATTTTCCAAATCATTTCTAAAAAATATGTATGGTATCAGATTGATCTAATTTCTGTGCACTGAGGACAAGCAAGTTCTATGTTACAAACTGAACTCTTCAATGCAAGAACAAGATGCATTTCTTCCTTTAGGAGGTGCTATTGTCACAAGAAAAGAAAAAGGTCTCAGTTTTGTTTTTGCATGTGGGTGGGTATTCTGTTTGTAATAATTGTTTGGATACACTACATTTTTAATATGCTAGTTGTGATAATTTCATGCCAAGTAAAAATGTCCATAGTCATATTTTATGTTCGTAAAGTAACAGAATGACTTTCAATCTGGAAAAGAAAAAAGAAGTGCTAATGTAGCATTTTTTTCAATTTTCCCAAAAAGTTCTGTTTTTTTCCGGAAAAAACAGGGGTTTTTTGAGCTTCAAAATTTCCAGAAATTTTACATCTCTATGTCCCACTAATAATTTAAGTTATTTTTATAATTTAGGTTATTTTGCACAAAATACCTTCACAACTTATCAATACAAAAAACTACCATAAAAATCTAATCTGACTGAAAGCTGAAACTGTGTTATAATATCATACTCTGCACAGCTGCATCAGTCGTCAGCATTGTAACAGTCATTACTGTTTACCTAAGAACTTTGCTTGACTTTGCTAGAACCAAAAGATGGAGGTATCCAAGGTATCAGATTGAGGACCACTAAGTAGAATTTATTTCTAAAAAGCAAATAGGAATCTATCCAAAACAGGGTTCCTCGGGGGCAGTTAAAAGGATAACGCCTTGCCTCCCCCCCCCCCCGCAAGGCAGTGGCACAATGAAAAGCTCTGAACACCATCTAATTAAGTTGATTATTGTGATTTTATTGTATCATTAATGTTTTAATCTTAATTCAGCGTGATTATGGTTGTTTTATTTATTGCTGTACACAGCCCTGAGCCCTGTTTACAGGGAAAGGTGGCATAAAAATTGAATCTAATAAATAAATATTAAGCAGGGGAGGAGGCCTGATTTGGAAACTGAGACTGATTTCAACTGTATAAAACAACTGGATTGGGTACTAAATTTAACATCCTTAAAATACCCATCAGAATTAAAGGATAGTGAGCAGTGTTCCCTCTAAGCTGAGTTAGTGTGAGCTAGCTCACAGTTTTTTAGCCTCTGGCTCACACATTTCTGTCTTAGCTCAGGAAGGGATGGCTCCAGAGCAGACTAATTTATGCAGTAGCCAAATTGTTCGCTCACCACTTTAATGCCAGTAGCTCACAAAGTAGATTTTTTGCTCACAAGACTCCACAGCTTAGAGGGAACATTGATAGTGAGTATCATTAAAACAAATGAAAGGACTACAGAGACTATGGGCAGAAAGCACACAAAACCGATAACAAAAAAGACTGAAGCAGCTATCAATGTGGGTGGAGAAAACAGCAAAACCATCCAAGCATCAATCAATGTAATAACAGAATACATGAAAAAGTGAAATAATCTGGGAATAAAAATGACCCGAGTTCTTATCCAAGTTGGTTTCCCCAAACCTATACATTCCTGTTTGAAATTACTTGCATGTCTTGAACGACCATCCTACCTTTCTTGCAGTCCCACACATTTAACTGTCAGTGTTGCTGGATCGGTCTCTGCTTTCATGTCCATGACACAGTCAAAAACTGGTGTCTCTGGCACTGGGTCCAGATCAAGGAAGTCATCTTCATTTTTGTCCTCCGTCCATTCAGAGTAGGTAAATGAAGGCTGGCGGCTTACAGACTGTCTCCTGTCTTCTGGGAGAGGGAATGGGTCGTCTGGAGGAGTCTTCACAAGATACCAAACCTACAAGGAGATGCACAGCATTTAGAGCTGAAAATTGGTATGCTTTTTTGAAAGAGGTTTCGCCCTTTTGGTGATCAATGACTTCATTATACCTCTGCACAATAAAATAACTCTAAAGGGAACAGAAAAATGCTATGCAACCAACTCTTCCTTGTGACTGTCACAAGAGAATTGCCTATTATATGACTTTATTCAGGCAAGTGGCTTTATGGAACCTTCTAGGCTTAGCCACTAAACACAGTGGAGGCACTCGAAATGTTTTATAGAGGCCAAATGTGAATTCACTTGATTTTCGGTTTAGTGGTCAGCTGCACTGGGCTCACAAAAATCACATGTTGTAAATTTTATTGAAGCCAACTTACACCAAGACTGGAGACAGAGAATAGCATTTTTTCTTTTGCTTTTTTTCAAAAAAAATTATTTTATAACAGACAAACAACTATGTAGAATAGTTTTTTTCATGGAGTTGAAAGAGTTCTGCTCAACTCTCACCTCTGATAAATAGGTTACTGTATTGTTTCAAAACCACACAAAGCTTGCTTGATCAGATGTGAAAATGGGACAAAAGTAAATGTGCATGAATACTATGGAATATAAATGCTTTTCTTAAACCACTTTCAATGTTCTTTAAAATGTTTGTCTGTCTCCACTCCAGCATATGATGCCTGCTAAGTTACACTTAATTTTTATATATATACTTAATTTTTATGTATATATGCACACACAGAGAGTTTTCCAACCATGAGGTCCCTTTTGGTAAAAGCACCTTATTCTCACAGTAATATGAAAAGCAAATGGGGATATAAAAGCAAAAGGAAAGAGGCTCTTGTAAAAATGTACTTTTTGCGAACTTACTATTAGTATGAAAAGTTTCTTTAAAACTTATGACAACTAAAATAGTTTCTTAACAATTTTACCACATTCTGTTCCAAATAGATAATGGCCCCAGTCACACTGGGAGAAAAGGCGCGGCAAAAGTGTGGCTTTTTTGAGCCACATCAAAAGAGACAGATCCCCCCAGCTGCCGCGCAGTTCCTCCCCGGCATGATCAGATGTCGGGGGGAAGCCACGGATCGGAGAGCGAAGCGAGCCCGCTGCACATGCGTAGCTCAGCAGCACATGCTGCGGGAGAGACCGGCACGCCAGTGATCCCACGGCCGCCCCTGCTGCGGATTTTCCGGTATGTACTAGTGTTTTGAAGAGGTTTTTTAATCCGCATCTTCGGCCGGAAGAGACGGATCGGGGACGGGGATGCGCCGCTTCCCAGATGTTGCGGTGTGATCGTGCCCGCTTGATGCGCCCCCGATCCGTCCCTCTTGCGGATCAAAGCCTCCCATGTGACCGGGGCCAATTTACATTATAAAATGCCCTTGTGATAAGATTTGTGTTGGCCAAACTTTAAGGAACATGCATCTCTGAGCATGAAAGCACTAGTCACCATAAAAGAACAGGTGTCCCTTTACTACAGCATCTCATAGAACACAATTATGCCCCCACAGGGTTCATATTTGGTGCTATACATAAATCTGATCACTATAACAGTTGTAAGATAATTTTAAAAAGGAGCTGAGTGAGGCTGAAGACTTTGATCTTGGGTGAAATGAAAGCCTGGAGCTTATTGCTGGTTTGAGATTTTTAAAAGTGTCAAAACACCACTCTTTTTCTCCAACACTGTTGCTGTGGGAAGTGTCCAGACTATAATATTTCGCAGCTCAGTTATAAAATATTAATACATTTATGTTTTATAAAACCTTAATTGTGTCTTAATGTACAAACTACACCTGTTCTAAATTTGTGAAAGGATTTCCTAAGCCCGATATTATTTGCTTTGATATTTGCCTTTTGAAACTCTTATTTTCTACATAACTCAGTACTTTCTATCTTCTAAAAGTATGCTTTCTAATTAATACTCTTAAGATTTTTATTTATTCTTATATTTATTTCAGATACTTCTGATGAAGTGTATGCAAAATGCATAGGGGTCTCAGAATGAATAAATGAATTCTCCCACTACACTCATTGTTTCTTGGTTTTTTTTGCTCCTGATTTGTAGTCGACAACATCGTTGTTCAGAACTTGTTTGAATTTGTTACCTTTCCTGAGAATAAAATGTAGTGTACAACCAGGGGTCATTTCGTAGAAAAAGAGGTGCAGGAGCTCATTAGCATAACTCATTAGCATACCTTATTTGCATATGCCACACCCCTTGACATCACTGGAAGTGTGTCAGAAGGCAACACCCACCACTCAGGCTCCACTGGGCTGTTTTGGATTCCTAGCTTTGGGGGGGGGGAGAACGTGCAGATCTGTCCTCGCAGAGGAGGGAGAGCTTGTACCTGAATAAAACTTGGGTCTTAAAGGTGCTACTAACCGGGGGGCCGGGGGGGGGGGCTCTGCAGCTTACCTGGCTGCTTCTTGCTCTGACTGAGGGCTGCTGGGAGCAGGGGGTGGGGTTTGTTGCATGTGCCTGCCCCCTGGGCTCTTTACTGCCGGAGCTCCGTTCCGGTGCGCTCCTGCAGGAAATGACCCCTGTGTACAACAAGATAGCTTTCCTCCATGTGGCTATCTGAAAAGTTGTGTGTCCACATATGAAACAAGAAAGCTTGTATAGCAACATGGAGAGGATTAACTCAGTAATGCAGCCACCTGGCATTTTCACAGCTAGGGTTGCCAGGTCCTACCTGGCTGCTGGCAGAGGGCTTTAGGGGGGCGTTCCTGGAAGAGGAGGGGACATCCCTGGTGTGATGATGTCACACAGAACTGACCTCATCATGTTGGGGATGCCGCCCCTTGGAAGGTGCCAGCAGCACCTGCTTGCAAAACACCATTTAAAGGGAAGGTTTCCTTCAAATTGTATTTTACAAGCAGGCGGCACCATGCCTGAACTCAGGCGTGGGTGACCCCCACTTGCAAGTGGGGGCCGCCCGCACCTGAGCTCCAAGAGGCAACTTCGCTGCTTGGAGTTCAGGTGTGCAGCCAGCGGCCACCCCTCTCCCTCCCCTCCTGCAAGATTTTAAAAGCCCTATCGAGCTGATGGGGGGGCCACATGCTCCCACTGATCAGCTGGAGAGCCCTTTAAATCTTTCAGGAAGGGAGGGAGAAGGGACGCTGGGGGTCTTTGCTGGGGGTGGGGCTTCCCCCACTGGCCAGAGCCCGCAAAATTGGGGGATTCCCCTGCCCCCACCTGGGGACTGGCAAACCTATTCACAGTGCCGTAAGTTTGACACAGGGGTCATTTCCTGCAGGAGCACACAGGAGTGGAGCTCCAGCAGTAAAGAGCCCAGGGGGCGGGCACATGCAACAAGCCCCACCCCCTGCTCCCAGCAGCCCTCAGTCAGAGCAAGAAGCAGCCAGGTAAGTTGCAGAGCCCCCCCCCCCGGTCCAAAACAGTCCAGTGGCACCTTTAAGACCAAGTTTTATTCAGGTACAAGCTCTCCCTCCTCTGTGAGGGCAGATCTGCATGTCCCCCCCCCCAATAGCTAGCAATCCAAAACAGTCCAGTGGAGCCTGAGCGGTGGGTGTTGCCTTCTGACACACTTCCGGTGATGTCAGGGGGTGTGGCCTATGCAAATAAATTATGCTAATGAGTTATGCTAATGAGCTCCTGCACCTCCTTTTCTACGAAATGGTTTCACAGATGGTAAAAGTGTAGCCGGTAATGAGAGTTACAGAGGTGAAAGTCATGGAAAAACAAAGCAAGACAGATCTTGGTCTTTTACACAGCGTGACCACTCCCCTTGATCTAGGAAGAGGAGTCTTGCACAAGGCCTGAACTTCTAAAAAGAAGACTGGACAAAAAATATTTGGGACGTCATTCTCTCAAAAATTTAGTAGTACTGGAGAGGAAATGGTACTACATTACTCATAAATGGTGAGATCTTATTTGGGGTAAATTACATTCTAGACATCGCCGTTCAATAATTAAAGGGCAAGACTGAAAGGATTCAGATGCCAAACCATATAAGGAAAGGATCTACTAAGTTTAGCTCAGAGAAAAGATTTTAAACTGAGAGTTGTCATGGATTCAGAAGTCTTCTAGACAGGAAGAAGGCAGCAATTATTTATTCTATCTATGGAGGAGAGAACAAGAAACAACTGCTTTTAAACTGCAGTGAGGTAGAATGAAGTTAAAATAAAACTTCGTAACTCAAATGTAAGCCGTCCTGAGCCCGTTCGCGGGGAGGGCAGGGTAAAAATGCAATAAATAAATAAATAATAAAATAAATAAATGTGGCCCCGGTCACACGGGAGGTTTAGGCCCGGAAGAGGGACGGATTGGGGGTGCAGCAAACGGGTGCGATCAAACCGCAACATCTGGGAGGCGGCACGCACCCGTCCCCGATCCGTCCCTTCAGCCCAGTAACGCGGAGCAAAAAAGAACCTAGTAAAGAGAAGGACTTACCTGAAACGCCGCAGCAAGCGCAGCCGTCGGATCGCAGGAGCGCCCGTCTTCAGGAGCATTTGAGGCTCCCAGCCGAACTGCGCATGCGCACACATGCGCAGCCGGCTGCCTTGCGCTCCCTTCCGTGTCTTTCCCCCCGGCATCTGATCGTGCCGGGGAGCAACTGCGCAGCGGCTCACGGGATCACTCTGATCCCCCGCCGCGTGTCTCTTTTGGTGCGGCTTTAAAAAGCCGCACTTTGGCCGCATCAATTTCCCCCCATGTGGCAGGGGCCTGTAACAATCAAATAAACTAATTAAAGGGGCAAACACAACCTGCTTCTTTGAAGGCTTTTAAAGAACATTTAGAGAGGCCTCTGTCATGGATGGTTTAGAGATAGGATTTCATGTAAAAAGAGAAGCAAGGAGTTGGGACTAAATGATCAAATGGGTATCTATGAACCCAGGAGTCTTACGATTGTATATAATGCATTTCCAGGAAACTGTATTATATCTCATTTGGATTTAAGCTGCTAAGTATACACACCAGCTTAATTTAATACCCTGTGGGGATAAACTCAGGTCTGTTTTTAATTCATTGTTGAACATGCACCATTTAACAGCTTGCTACTGGGACTCTGCTGTTGAAAGTGGTATGCTACCTCTGACCTCTGGTAAAATGTGGATTTCAACGTCTCCCTATCTTCTAAGGGTATACTCAGGTCGGCAGTTTTTTACATGATCTGTTGAAGAAAACTGCACACGGGATTTGTTATGTATTGCACCTGAACTGCCCTTGCATAACAATGGATGGCTAGGATCCTAGAATGGACCAATAGGGAGACAGGGATCCTACAGTAAACCAATTGAGAAACAATAGAGTGTAAACAGCCTATCGTTGGGAGTGGGGTGTTTTTGGGTGTAACCAGGGGTCATTTAGTAGAAAAAGAGCTGCAGGAGCTCATTAGCATAACTCATTAGCATAACTTATTTGCATATGCCACAACCCCTGACATGACCAGACGTGTGTCAGAAGGCAACACCCACCGCTCAGGCTCCACTGGACTGTTTTGGATTGCTAGCTATTGGGAACGTGCAGATCTGTCCTCACAGAGGAGGGAGAGCTTGTACCTGAATAAAACTTGGTCTTAAAGGTGCCACTGGACTGTTTTGGGCTGGGGGTCTGGGGGGGGGTCTGCAACTAAACTGGCTGCTTCTTGCTCTGACTGAGGGCTGCTGGGAGCAGGGGGTTGGGCTTGTTGCATGTGCCCGCCCCCAGGGCTCTTTACTGCCGGAGCTCCGCTCCTGTGTGCTCCTGCAGGAAATGACCCCTGGGTGCAACCCTTTTCAGGCATAAATACCTGGCTTTGGCCAGGGATTGCAGTCTTCTTTCCTCTCGCTGAATCACAAATAAACTATGAGCTGATCACTTCTACGCGTCTGAACCCGGTATATTTCAGTATTGAAGGAATTCACACGGCATCACTTGATCTGTCACTGTTTCTCACTCTACTTCTCATCCTTCATTCAGGAAAATCACCTCCTTCGTAAAAGACTTTTACACTTAGCATGGCAAAGGTCTCAGGCATCACCCTTCCTGGCCATTGCTCTCCCTCTTCTACCTTCATTGTCAGACCTTTTGGGCTCTGAAAAGTGAATTTCTACCATGGTGCCTGTACACCCATTCAGCTAGATGCATGAATGTGGATTTCTTTCAGAAGTAGTTAAATTTTAACTGTTAGAATTCAGTATTCCACAGCACACATGTACAGATTAATGTCGAGACATCCAGTTAACTGTAACACGAGCAATTACTCAGTGCATGTTATAAAGAAAAATCAAGTATCCACGTGCGAACCCACGAGGACTTGTGGGAGGCATCTAATTTCTCCCTCCTCCATTTCCAATATTTACACTCCAATATGTTCACTATAGCCTCTCCCTTTCCCCTGCTTCCTTTTCTCCTATGGTTGCCAACCTCCAGGTGGGGCTTGGAGATTTCCTGGAATCACAACAGATCTCCCAACAACAGAGATCAGTTCCCCTTAGGGTTGGGAAATTCCTGGAGATTTGGGGGTGGAGCCTTGGGAGGATGAGGTTTGAGCTTGGAAGTGACCTCAGCAGGGCATAATACCATAAGCTCCACCCTTCAAAGCAGCCATTTTATCCGTGTGAACTGGTCTCTGTCATCTGGAGAGCAGTTGTAATTCCAGTCACTCCAGCCCTCACCTGGAGGTTAGCAACATTAGTTCCGCGGAGGAAATGAATGCTTTGGAGGGTGGAGTATATGGCATTCTATCTGTCTGAAGTCCCTCCCCGCTTCAATCCCCACCCCCCCAGGGTCCACCCCTCAAATCTCCAGGAATTTCCCATCCTGGAGTTGGCATCCCTATCTCCTTCCCGCCCAGTAGCCAACCTACCTTTGTCTGTCCCTCTGTCTTCAGCTTTCTGCCTCCTTTCCCCCTGCAGCTTCTACTGAGGTAAACTATGGTCTTTCTCCACAGTGGGGACTACAACAGTTTACATTATTCTCTCCTCCTTTCTATCCACACAACAACCCTGTGAGGTAGGTTAGGCTGAAACTATGTGACTGGTCCAAAATCACCCAGTCAGCTTCCACAGGAAGATGGGGATCTAAACCTGGGTCTTGCAAACCCTCCTCTGAAGCTCTGACCGTTATACTACACTGACTTTCATAGGGTGGGTGATGTTGAACAGTAGCAACCAGCCAGGCCTAGTTGAATCATGCAAGGCAGGTGGTATCAAGTCACCCAGAGGGTGCTGCTAGGCCCAGGTTTGCCAGCCTCCAGGTGGGACCTGGAGATCCCTCAGAATGACAACTGAACTCCATACAACAGAGATCTCTTCCCCTGGAGAAAACAGGTGGACTCTGTGCCATTATATCCAGCTGAGGCCTCTCTAGTCCCCAAACTCTGCACTCCTTGGACTTCACC